TAGATGTATTTCAGCATCTTTAAAAACCTTTTTGGTTTGTTAATGTGAATGGAGCCGATTAATGTATAAAAATAATTTCAATATATGTATGAACATAATTTTTGTGTACATTTTATACATTTCAAATATGTATAGACATAAATAAAAGGACAGATTTGATTTTTGTTTTTTTAAAGTTGGACCAATCATATGTCTCACTCAAACTGTAAATAATATCCAACGTTTCAGAAACGATTAAACAACATACTTGCCTCACTTTTATCATTTCTACAGATTTGATTAGTTCATCGAAAATTTCTGTGCTTTTCTTTTTGAAGATGAACGTTATGAAACGTGCCTGGCCAAAACGGAATCATAGACAAATCAGGTTGATCGCAGTTGGTCGAAGTTAAAATTAACAAGTTGATGAATCTCTAAAATTTACAATAAAATAAACATATATTTAATTATTGTAAATAAGGTCATTATGGACAAAAACCTCATGGAACAATGCAATAATTATTACTGTAACCTTTCTGAACAATAGAAATCTACCCATTTTCAAAATCCGTGTACCTTTCAAAACACAGAAATTTCCAATCTGAAAGGACGAATAGTACGGGAAACAATTCCTTACGCATTGTCGTTGATACCGCGTACGACAGTGATCACGAGGGGAAAATTTAATTTGGTGACATGTCCTTCGGATCATCACGTAGCAGCAATAAATCAGATGTTAGGCAAGAGGAACCATCAAAGGAAAGCCCAGCTCTCAAGTTGTACAACGGGCAATACTCTACAATGTCTACAATGTCATTTCATCGTGAAAATATCTTCATTTACTTGAAATAATTATGTCAATTTATAAAATGATATTCAATCTGCATCCATTATCCGGCGAGACTTATGAAGCCTACTTTTTATCCTCTCATCACAGTCAAACTAATAAAATCCCATTTCTCCTTGATTGTGTAATCAACAAGTTGTATACAATTGTTGGGTAAATCAATTTGTGTAAATCGAACGTTTTCAGGTTGCCAAAATCATAACACACAATTGATGGTGTGATACGATTATGAACACACGAAAGAGAGTGAACATACTTAGAGGGAAAGATATTAATAAGGAGAAAAAGATGGAGAAAGAAAGAAATAAAAAGAGAGAAAAGTGTGTGAGACAAAAATAAAAATATATAGATATGCATATAGAGGGGACCGCGGTAGCCGAGTGGTTAGCATGAGATAATCTCACGCCGCGGTCGTGGGTTCGATTCCCACCGTCGCCTCTGGCCCTTTTTTCCCGATAACCCCCAATTTGAACACACAAGAATTCGTACTATGGCTAATATGCAAGATCATAAGGCCAATAATAATAAAAAAAAAATATGCATATAGATAGATAGGTAGATAGGGAGGGATGAAAGTAAATAGATAGATAGATAGATAGATTGGTAAAGAGAGCGCGAAAGAGAGAGAGAGCGACAGAGAGAGAGAGAAAGAGAGAGAGAGAGAGAGAGAGAGTGAGAGTGAGGGAGAGAGTGTATATATATATATATATATACTAATTTTAATACGTTTATGTAACATATGTGTGTACTATTTTTGTTCGTAAAATGGAATATTTCTTTATACTCATTAATCTTTAATATACAAAAATGTTTTAGAATATTATTATTTTATACAATATTGTGTTTTATGTTACAACCTATAATGCTTATCAACCAAGGTAAACAATATAGTTCAAACAAGAATATATTGCTGTGACAAAAATTTGTGTTTAACTTATGCATTTTTTCGGAGATGGAGAAGGATACCGAGATTGACGGTTTCTTCTCAAGAACCACTCTCAAAATGATTGCTTCCTTTACAATGGAAGGAAGTCGGAGTCAGATATGATTTCTCAAACCTGCAAACTCAAATCTATTTTACTTCCTCATTCTAACTCTTGATTTAATTTCCGCCCTAAAGGATGCTTGATGAAAGTAGAGAAGTTAGGAACTTTGCAAATACCGTCTGCACCACCATTAACAGTTATAATTTACTTTTCTAATGTTGTGTCTAATGCTCTCGCTCTCCGTAGATAAAATGTAGTAAAGTAACGTATGTTATATGACAATGAAAACCATTTTCTATTTACAGTAAAGTAAAAGTCAATGGAGCTAAAACATACTAAAAACTACAAAGTGAATTAATTAACTTCTGTAATGAATGAGAGCTTAACATCCCAACGTACCTGCTGAGTGTCATGAACAAAATACTACAAGGGACATAATACTTAACATTATTGTTTCATAAGTAATATCCAATAAAATTCCAAAGACTATGCTAGGATTCGATCCCAGAACTGCTAGCGTGGAAAATACGGATGCCGTAACAATTACTCTACCGGGGTTTTCACATATTTATTGTGAGGGATTTAAACCTGATTTTTTTATAAATAAAGGAAGGAAACAGTAAAATAACCTAAAACATTTGTCATGATGTTGTCATGATTAAAAAAACTTCTAAACCAAGCTATGCTCGGTTTTCATAAAACCAAACATACTTTCCTTGACAAAATTGCAAAACTAGAAAAAACTTTAATGTTCTACCCAGTAACCATTATAATTTGAGAGATAATTTGGTTTTCACGAAATAAATAATATGTTTGAATTAAACAAGATTTACAGTTTGCATTTTTCTCTTTCTCCCAAAACCCATTGTTGTAACACTTCAAAAAATGATTTAATTTAAACAAAATCATTTTAAAACTGTTTTCTTGCGATAATGATGTGAAGATTTGTATTGATAATAATATTTTGAAAGATTGAGACAATTGTAAAATTTATTTCTTCTTTTGTTCTAAAGTTTATAATATTTCTTCACGTATAGAATCGGAATGTCATGTACAAATCTAACTTTAAAACCCACGCGCACGCACTATTTTATTGTATTGTAAATACTAATTAACAAAATTATGAAATACTTATGCGGTCTCTTACCTCAATCACTAAATTAATGTTTCGTCACGCCTCGGCAACTTCATCACACAGTTTTTGAATTTTCACAGGAGTATTTCTTTATTAATTACTTCATTAGTATTTCACACTTTCTACGAAAAGATCGAAAATAATTAATTATTATTATTATGATTTGGATTTATATAGGCACAAATCCGCACATACTTACAAACATGGACTATTCGCTTACCGAAGTCCACCTGCAATTATTGCTTTGGCCGGCAGACACGAGAATGTATTTACTTACCAAAAATATGTTTGGTTGAAAAAAATAAGACATTTAAAAAGAAAAAGTTTGTTACCTAATTCTAAAAAACAATTATTGAAAACTAAAACGAAAAATATAAAAAACAGACCTTTTGTCCCCTTTAATACAATTCATCGTGGAATCCTCACACACAACTATAACGTCTAAAAGTTATGACAAGATACAGTTGGCAGGGTTTGTTCACGTCTTCTTGATAAACGCTCTGGCTTACAACAGTTGAATAGCATAGTTATTCGCACAGACTGTTTTGGCAGTTATCCGGATTATAAGCATTTAAATGCTCATCCCTCACCATCCCTAACCATGACTTACCTCTCACAAACCAAAAGCTGCTTTATAGCACTTCAATGACTTACGGAATAAATACGAATAAAATTACGCCATTTTTCTCACTGACCCTCTGTCTATTTTATTCCGGTTTTCTTAACTTAATCGCATCGCCCATAAATTTTAATTCATTTAGGTTTCTTCATATTTTCCAAATCAAAAATATGTTTCTTTGTACAAATAACACATTTAAAAAGAAAAAGGTTGTTACCTAAAGAACAAAAAATCACAAAATTCAAAAACAAATCAAAATGTAAAAACTTTTTTGTCCCCTTCTATACCGAGAATTTCCACCTCTGGCGCAAATCAAGTTGTTAAATGCTTTTGCATTCCTAGGAAAGCATTACTTATAAATCCTGAAGATTACGTTCCCATTCATCAGACGTTCTTTTTTCCAACATTCTAGGGTGTTAGGACTTGGATTTTGCTGTCGTACTCGCCACTTAAGTTGGTCCCAAATGTATTCGATCGGGCTCAAATCTGAACATAGAGTTGGCCACATCAAGATGTCAATTACCTCATTCAGGTAATCCGCAGTACGTGCTCTAAGTCGCCTGGCATTGCCCTGCATTAGCAAGAATCTCTCACAGATGTGGGCAAATGGCACTACATATTCTTCGATCATGGCTTGCAAGTACCTCTCGTGAAGTTAGAGACGTTCCTCGCACAACAACCAATTTGGTACAGGCGTCGTATTACCGAAAGTTGAGACAATACAAATTTTTATGATAAGCTGTTTTCCCAACGAGCTTCAGTTTTTTCAATATCCAATTACGCCATTAAACAAATCCAGTCTTCTTGCGGTAGGGAGTCGATAGACGATTATTTAGTTGGAAAGGTGGTTTTTAAAACAAAATATATGTAAAATACAAAAATTTTTAAATGAGATAGTGAGATGTAAGATGATCAAGACAAGATACGCCAGAACACTTGACTGGTAACTTTCAAAAATTTAGTTGAACCACTGCTAAAGCCAACAAAGATTATATATAGTTTGATAAAAAAAAATACAAAATGCACCTTTTGGTTGGAAAAACGGACGCTAACCATAATTAGAAAACTTTTATAATATTAGATATAAGAAAAAAAGTGCAGTAAATTTTAGCTATCTTACAATGTTATTGTATAATTTAATTTGATGGACGTTATTGAAAATATTGGTTAAAAAGTGGAGAAAACAATTCAAATGCTGCTAAAGCCAAGAAANTTTTTATTAATGTATGACAAAACCTTATTGTTTATGGTTTTTTTTCTATTTCTTTGTGCTTACTTTTGCTGAAACCTTTGTACATTAAGTTATTTTTCTCCAATAAAAAAATCCATTCATCTTATTTTTTGTTTTCACCTTTAATGACAATCCCTTGAATGGTGTGGAACGGGTGCGGGAAACATTCGTCGAGTTGTAGAAACGGGATTTACAAGGACACTCTCATTTTTCTGAGTGGGGTAGGATCCCCTGCTATATATATGTACCCGGGGTGCCTTGTTCTTTACTGTAGCATCTACCCAAGTTGCCATGGCTTCCTTCAAGACCCTCGTAAGCCAATTTAACTTAAATTTTTAGTTTTACATTAAATACATCTCTAAATTTGTTATTTTTTAATTTTTAGATCTGCGTTTTCGCTGCTCTTTTCGCCGTCGCCTTTGCCGTTGAGGAGGCAAGGGAGAAGAGAGGAGTCGCCTACTCAGGTACATAAACAATTCTTTTACAAACAACTTTAGGCAAACTTTAATATTTTTGTTTTCAATTAGGCCTTGGATATGGACTCGGATACGGTGGACTTGGATACGGCGGTCTTGGATACCACGGAGTCGGATACTCTGGACTTGGCTACTCGGGACTTGGATACTCCGGACTCGGATACTCAGGACTTGGATACAATGGACTTGGATACTCTGGACTTGGATACCACGGACTTGGAGGTTATGGATACCTCCATCACTAAACCTATTGTACAATCTGTCTTATAACAATCATCCACAAAAAAATGAAGCAAAATACACCTTCTGTATAAATAGATTCACAAAACTATGCTCAAATTGTAATATAAATACATTAAAAAAATAAACAATTTTACATTCCAAAATTGTGATTGATTTGATAAAAATACCGATGAACCTCGTTTAAAGTACACTATAAAATATTCAGAACATATCACATCATCGTCAAAGTATTGAGAACATCATAAACATAACATAAATGTAAATTATACTTACTCTTTGAAAAAGTATATTAAAATTATTAACAACCAAGATGTTTTACACTTATTTCTCTTAGTGAGGATGAGTTAAAAAAATATAAATCAAGTACTTTCGAAGTACAAGAACACATGGAAAATTAGGACTTAAATTTAAGGCTGTGGTTTGTTGACTGCGAACTAAATGACCTTTTTTGTGATGTTAAGTTTGTGTAAAACACTTCATTGATTTTTCAAATTTGCAGCTGATAGTGCGAAGAAACTGTTTTTTCCTCAGGTGACACTGCCATATTAACAAGTCACCCTTCTTCTACACAAGCTTTCTTTCTGTTACAAAACTGCATACCAACAATTGAAAAATGGAGCATTATTTGGACAATCAACCTCATGTAAATTTGGTGGTATTCAGGGTACTCAATATTTTACAGAAGACCACTCTCTTTCGTCCTAATAATTACTCGCCTACAAAACTGTTTGTTCATATGCACAGAATTGCGACAGTGGTATTTGATACGATATTATTAAGCCTCGCCCACAATAACTCTATAATTATGTTACAACTAATTTATCTTGGATGGTCTGCGGGGCAGATTATCTGCATTAGAAATACCGAATACTTCTTCACACACGAAAACTTTGTATCAAGGTATGGTCTTAAGAAGAAAGCGAATTTAGTTGTTACTGCCAAGCTTTCGACCTATTATAGGGTCATCATCAGGGCAAACCCATCTTAAATATGTCTACAGATTGACATATTTAATTTTTTTTCTACGCTCTCTCAAGTTTTATTGAATACGGGCTCAGTTTCAATATTGCCAAGGACTGATTACAGCCTATCTATTGTCTTATGCTTTCTATTCATTTATGTAATTATTTATCCATTTATTTATTTACCTACATATTTAACTATCGCTATTCATTTTATTTGTACTTTCTGTTTTATATACATTTATTTTATTTTGTTCTCTAGTGGAATAATTGTCATTTTTGCACTACATCCCTGATCCCAAACTTCAATGGTTAATTCTTTATAAAGTATGACTTTTGTCCATCAAAATCGGTACAAATTTAAAGATACACAGACAGTTATAAAATCAAAGGTGTACGAATGTAAGAATTGCATTATTTTTTAAATTACAATATTTGTGATGTAAATTGAAGAATTTAGCTTGCTCATGATCTTGCCCTTTAAAAGCATGTGTTGTCCACGCGTTAATTACATAAAATTATTGACAGATTAGGTTTGAGTCATTGGACATAATTTATATCCACTAACAAATATTTGCATTTGTAATGTTTTTATCGTGAGTACCCTCATTATTTTTTTCATAATTCCTGGATTGTATTCTTATTAGCATAATACAATACTAATTATCATAATTATATTTAAGCTAATGAATATTAATTTTTTCCCTCTTGAATGAGCAGCGCACATATCCGCAACTACTTACCTAATTAAAATTCTTGTAGCAATTTTCAAACGCTTTGAGGATTTGTATCAATATACTATATTTTTCTGGATAACTTGGGAAAGGTTTTTAAATATATTGTGCCTAGGTTTAGGTTAAGTTCAAATGTTACGTGAATTATGAAGTTTAGACTAACATGAATTGAATAGACTTATAGACTTCTTCCCGAATATCAACAATTTGTACTAGGCAAAATACATTAAACATTATTGAAAAATGTAAATTCCTTTAACATAAATTAATTCAATTGGAACAATAACGTAAGAAGGATTAATCCTAAAGTGAAGGCGTAATGTTGATGGCGTGGGCTAAAATAAATCGCTAATGAGAACTTACGAGGAGCATTTAACCCTGCCAGAAAAAAGACCGTTTTATGTTTTAAAAAGCATGTGCAGATTTAACATTTAAAATATAAAAAAGGCTGGACGACCTACCACTTTTTACGCTTCCTGAACGGACCGGATGAAAGTGGATCGCATCAGAAAAAACAGCCCTTTAAAATCGGGGCACGAAAATGTGAAACTTTGTAAGGAAATGGCGCAATAACAGGAATAAGAGTCGGAGGATTGGACGTTATAAAATACAGGTCGAAACTTAAAATTAAACGTGGGGATGTGCCATTTTAAAGAAAAACTCATGACAAAATTTAAATTTAATTTTCTTTTGTATAAATGTATGGTGATTAGTGATCATTAGTCGATGGTTATTCGAAAATCGTGAGATGCGGTCTGGTGTGATGTAGGTTTCAGAAAAACATTTTCTTTATCGTACCAACGTGAGTAGAAATACTTTGACTGAATATAAAAAAATATTTTTGCCTTGTATAAATTAACTTTTTCCACATCCTACATGTATTTGATAAATTTAAACAATGTTTGTAAATCCCAGGCTCTGAAGATGATCTCAATAAAAATCGAAACGTTGGCACGATAAAGAAAATTTATTTTGTATTTTGTTTTAATTTATAAATAAAAAAATACAAGTTTCGTAGTGAAAACATAAAAGATTTGGAACACCTCTTCATTCTATATTATATAGATATTATAACTAATCTAATTATAATTTTGGAGGTTACAATTCTGATTTAGAATGGACAGGTTGCTGTCTCGTGCAATGCAAACTCAATTGTTAATTCCGTTTTGCTTGAAACATAAAGTATTAATATTTAATTAGATGCCTATATTTGGTAATTATTTATTAATAGTAGTTTGAAAGTCCTGACAAAGGGGTATATTTCGAAAGCTTGACGAAGAAATTGAATATTTCCATTCTAGCTGGCCAAAGCCCTCCTTTTCAATGTTACAGTTTTCAGATGTTTTTCCAATATGTGTTTTAAAATTAAATCTTGTTTGTTCGGCGAAAGTGATTGACAATTGCATTTAAGGGAGAATAAAGGTTAATTTTAAGCAAATTTATGATTATAAATGTATACGTAAGGTGTAATTTTAAGTTTTTCTTTTTAAGTAAGACATACTAAATTTTAAGAATAGGCGAGTCTAAATTGTGAGTTGAACTGGTTTCGGACGTTGCTTAAAGCTAAATGTCGTATGTTGTTAGTGTGACCGACCACTTATGTGGCCTAGAATGTGATACAGATCAGTTTTCATTTTTTTCTTCGGTACTCATTTCCTCTACAAAGAGATTCCTTCTCCAGACTCCACATCTCAATTATTTAAAATTAGAAATGGTCAAAGAACATAATTAGTATATGAGTATTTTATGTCTATTAGATAAACCTCTTTTTTTTTGGGAAAAAAATGCGTAATTTATTTATAACGTAAAATATACAAATCTGGCATTACTTCCAAAGGAAAAAAAGTAAAATAAAATGCAATAGTACTAATAATATTTGATAAAAATAGGTGCTATCAAACTATTTTAATAAAATTTACAAACAAGTTTTACAGCAAAGTAAAATTAAATACCAAACGATGAACCTGCTTCTTATTAGATATCATATTGTATAAAAAAAATTAAACGCTGACGAACTGAGAAAAATATAGTTAGAGGAAAGGAATGAAGTTGCGAGCTAGAGAGAACAAAATCTATTGAGAATAAAGGGTAGACAGATAGTAAAAGGGTGTGAATGAGAGAAAAGAAGAGAAAAGATCGTCTGAGAACGATTGAAAAAAAAACAGAAAAACAGAGTGGGTGAGCGAGATAAATAGATAGATGGATAGATACAAATAGGGAAAGAGATAGAAAGAGGCCGAGCGAGAGGCTTTTATTTTGCTGGTTTTAAAGCATTTTATTCTTCATGTTTATAACACTTTTTGCAGTATTGTAGGGTTATGCAAACAGAAAATTTTAAAATATTATGAAACATTTCGTAATCGTACGCGTACCTCTTGTTGGTTTTATTGACATTTGATTTGTACAATAATATATTAGCCTGTAAAATCAAGGATGGTCTCAATCTAGTTTTGGAAGATATCCAAAGAATATTCCAGTTTTATGTTATAACTCACAAATACGTGAAAATCTGAAGGTGGGGTGTGAATTTATTTTATTTCATATGGTATATTTCAGTTAATATTTTTCGTTTTACTTGCTTGTCAAATACACCTTTTTCCGATATTTTCTCTAAAGTCGATTTAACCTTTAACAGCCGTATTGGAATTCAAGGCTTGATTATGATGAACAAAATCCTTTAAAAAAAGGACTTCTTTAATCTCGCCGAACCACATCATAATCTTAATATAGACTCCCACTGTAGGATTGACACTCTTCCCCCTCCTAAAGATATCTGGTGATGTTAAAAGTGGGTCGATTCAAAATATCTATAAGAAGATAAGAGACATGCGGTCTGGCGACTTTTTGCCAGAAGACGTGTGAAGGTCCAAAACGCCACTCAGAGAAACTCCAAGAACATTTAAATTATTTAATATGTCCTTAGGAATGTTTGATCGTGTAGTGTACTTTTTTATTGTTTAAAATGAACCTTGTTTATTGTACAACACCAATTTCCCTAAATGACATAGCATTTGAGTTTGTAGTTTTAAGCGTTTTTTCAGTAATTACAACAACTTGTCTATTTAATACATTACCCTTTGTGCAAAATTATATCTGCAGGTTTCATCCATGTTATATAAAAACCAATTTCTATGTAATGGTAAAAAACTTCAAACAAAAGGTATTATAGACGAGGATTTGTAGTTCCTACGTTCGATAACTTCACCAACCTGTCTTAAGATACCAGTTGTATTTAAAAGAATGCTTCATCCTCCTAAATTATGTGGTTGAAACATATCGTAAATATAAAGTAATTATCGCTCTTCTATTGAACAACCCTCTTTGGCCCGACTATGTTTACAATTTTTAAGTTATATATATAGTCATATAAGTTATATAGCTTGTCTTATAACTTTATTTTAGACTAGTAATATTGATCCTTCAGATACCAGGTGTATTTAAAAGAAAGCATCATCCTCCTAAATTATGTGGTTGAAACATATCGTAAATACAGAGTAATTATCGCTCTTCTATTGGACGATCCTCTTTGGCCCCATCACGTTTAAAAATTTTAAATTATATAATGTTTTGCAAATTTAGTCCCGCCAACGATAGAATAAAAGTTAAGTAAAAACTTTTGGACAAAATTCATAAACTTTTTTGGCTTGTCTTATAACTTTATTTTATGCAAGGAATATTGATTCTTCAAATGATGTGTGTCAAAAGAAAGCATCATCGTACTAAATTATTTTGTTGAAATAAATAAAATAAATAAAACAGAGTAATTATCGCTCTTCTAATGGTCCTTCTTCTTTGACCTTATTATGTTTAATGTTTTTTAGCTATAAGTTTTTTAAATTTGGTTCTGCCAACGATATAATAAAAATTACTTAAAAACTTTTGGACAAAATTCATAAGTTTTTTGGGTTATTATGCTTGCCTTATACCTTTGTTTTATGCTAGAAATATAGATATGGTAGAAATGTATGACAATAAACTTTTGAGTTGTTATAGGTTACTTTTCTATAGACAAGAACAGTTACACTGATTCTCTTTTTTTAAATGTATTTATTTCGAAGTAACCCTGATTCCTCTTCAGCATAGAAAACCCTTACAATATTTCAGGGATGATTCGGAATATATTTTTGGTTATATAAATTATATTATTAATATCGTAACAAAAAAAGGCATCCGGTTGAAGCCGTTCTTAACAACAACAAAATCGTAATCTACAAGACCTCTAAGAACCAGCAACTTTAGAACAAAATCAATTAAAAACAAAGTTAATATTTTCTTGAAACTAAATTCGTAGAAATCATTTCCAATAAGAAGATTCAACACGATTTTGAGATATTTTCAAAAATCTCTTTCAAACAGGTATAAATAATAACAATATGTCCTCAATGTACATTAAAATTGAATAAACTTTTTCGCTCCGCTTTACATAAAAAACAATGGACTGCCGACCTCCAATCAAGGCTGATACTTTGGCCTATGCCTAGACGGATGACCGACGTCGAATCCCTATACAAGGTTTAAGAGAAAACAACATAACCGAAGCCATTCACAACTACGAAGGCTTTTGGGGCTTAAATATATTTTTATCGTCAAAACTCAACTGTGTATGCAATTCATACTCATCCAACACATAGTGCATCGAATCCTCCCAATTGCAAGCTTTCACACAAATTGTCAAACCTTTATACTAAATCCCACTATCCAAACAGCCTCAACATTATTTTTGGCTTGTAACAGAGACAAAAGAAATATATATATATNTATATATATATATATATGTGTGTGTGTGTGTGTGTGTGTGTGTGTGTGTGTGTTTGTGTACACATAGATTGACTATTATCTAATTACCTACCTTTTCCTGTTTACGTACTATTAACTCAGTTAAGATATCTATGTTTCCCACTGGGGTCGCAATGTCATTTTTCAAGTTCTTTAGCGTGCGCACCTGGCACATAGGCCTTATCATTTGTTTAAATTCTTAAGAGCGACTCACCTCCGCGCCCGGAAAATCTGTTTATTCCGTGAGGTTCGGTGTAGAAGCACGCAAATCCGCAGGTTAATCGTATGGGCATGCTGACTTCTCCCGTTTGACCCTTCCGAGGGGGTGAGTTAATATCGTGCACTCAATCATGTGCCCGCGTAAAGGGATACCCTCCAAGTCTCTCACGCCTCCCTAGATAAAGAAGACAACTCTATCTCCCTGGCTGTAGGGGCTCCGCCAGCGTCGTAACTTCCTGATGCGCTCCTGCCGGGGTTTCGATTTTAGTGGAATCTCTAACCCCCTAGAAGAGACCATGCCTACGGTCCTGTGTAAAGGCAGCTCTGACAGCCACCACTGACAAGCACCCGACCCCGTCCACCATTCCTCACGTATTTGATGGACGCCGGCACCTAGTCATAGCTCCTCGCAGCTATATGCTCTCGGCAATTCGATACTTCTGATTCCCGCGAGATCGGGAGGTAATTCGGAGGTCATGCGCAAGTGCTACGGTCCACGGCCACGAATGGAACACAGCATTTTCTTAGGTACCCGCCAGGGTCTCACCACTTATCCACTGCGAGTCCTTACCCATGAAGCTGGGCTTGAACTTGGAACGAAAATACGGTGCCCCGCAGTACAGATTGTTATGCACCCTCCCCCGTACGTATATATATTCAAAATATAAATTTAGACAGGTTCTGGTAACCCGCGTGTGCCTCTACTACAGCCAGCTCTCAAACCAGCAACTCCCTTAACGCATCTCGAGGGAGTAGGTAGGCGTAGACTCAGCATCCTCACACTATACGCTTTCTTGGCTCTGTCATCCAAATGCATGCAGAGGCTGCTTAAGGCGACATGCTTTCCATATGTACCATTCATTTTAATGGGGCAGATCAAGCACCCTTTCTCAACATGACGGGCACACATACCCAAAGTAAGTTTTGGCCCAAAAGTAAATGTGTGTCAGCCTCACACGGTCCATTCTTAAACGGAACAAGAAGCCTATTCCTTTTATTGAATTGATTCCTTAGCTCAATTTTACCAACGTTGAACACAAATGATTAAAATTTAAGATATTTCGTATAAAAACAATGATATGCCATTTCATATTTACTTTAATGAACGGCTAACGAGTATGTAATAATAAGTATATTTGTTATTAAATGTAATCGTTACTGTAAAGCATCATTAATGTATATAAGTATACAGTATTTTTTTCAAACAGTAAGAAATATACTTAATAAACAAGAAAAATCACTTGCCTGTTAAAAGCGCATTCCTTAAATTCCCACAGCGTTTAAAGAATTTTTAAAAATCAATTTTGCTTTCCTAGTGGACAAAAATTTATTACCCCTAGATTCGTATTTAACAAAAATGACCATAACAATTTTCGAATCGATAGTAATAAAATGCTGAATTTTACCACAAATGTTTTATTTTAATTTTATTTACATGGTGAAATTTTCTGTCGTGTTTAGACTTAGTGGAGGAAGCCGTATCCTAATCCATAGCCGGGGAACACATGACCAACCCTGCCAAATCCACCGTACCCATATCCTCCGTAACCTAAGCCGTGGTATCCGAGACCGAAGCTCCTGGTATATCCAAGACCGTATCCACCAAATCCACGGTATCCACCGAATCCACCGAATCCAAGAAGACCTCTCTTTTCCCTTACTGCTTCTTCAGCCAGGGCGAAAGCGAAGATGGCGACAAAAGCAAGGATCTATATACAAAAGATTAAAATGTTACATTTTATAGACTAGAAAAATTTGAAATAATGAAAACTTACAAGAGCTTTGTAAGACATGGCTGGCCAAATGACAACTGTCGTGAATGTTAAGATTCAGCTCGTGCTTATATATCCTAATGCCTGTTAGAATTGACGAATCGACCTTGCTGGTTATGTCAGGGTCAACAAAATTTACGACAATATTTCGAGGATCATCTGCTTTTTGTCTAGTCAGAAATATGAAACCGTTGGTCGATAGAGGGGGTGTGTGAGCTTTGTGTTGTGGTTAGACTGGTTTTGTATTTTAGTTATGGCCAGGACAAGATTTTACTGTAATATATAAACTTAATTCTCTTTTTAGTGATTCCAAATATTACGGCCTATCCAAGCAATAAAGAATAGATTATCTATCTGATCTTGTACACAACAAAGGCCACTGGGTTGGTATCTCATCTGTGTCAAATATTTGGCAGAAGTCTAACTAAACGAATAATATTTAAACAGAGATGTTAGATCTTGTACCATATAAATTATACGAAGACTGAGTATAATATATGTTTAGTTTTTAGACAATTCCGAACAGAATGGACAGGTTTTGATCTCGTTCCACTATCAACTCGTAAATTCAATATGTTTGAGGCAATAAGTTTCACTACTGTAAGTAAAGTTTTTTATATGTTTTTTATCGGCCTTCGGATGTCGCATATATTGTACGAGTATAGGAGAGGAAATCATCAAAGAAAAAAAAATTGTAGTAATGCTTTCGGCCTACATAATACCTTCATCAGAACTCTACTACAAACAATTATTGCCGTTATATATAAAATGTATGCATATTGATAAAATACAAGACAATCTTTAACTTAAATAAAATCGAATACCATCAAAAGAATTTTTTTATCATACGTGTGGACTTAGATTAAACAACTAGCACTCCAAGAGATAAGATATGGTTATGCCAATGTTACCAACAAAGCACAATAAACCCTTTTCCTTATATTTATAAATAAACTATTAATGACAATAGTAACTAGAATAGAAAGAAATTAACTATTTAAAACAATTAACAATAGAGCTTTAGACTAAAATTGCCCTATGTCTGTCCTAATCTTACTGGGAAATTTAACTATGGACAAAACCTGGCGTGAGATTTCCTGTAAAATAAAAGTAGGCATATTTTCTTGACACGAGGCGATAAAAAAAGGAAGGAGTAACACATAAAGTAGGAAATATACATGGTCGGAAAATAATCTCAAGGTTCGACTAGTCCTCATCAAACCAGATACGAGCTATAAATGCCAAAATCAACTCTCTTTGCATAAATTACACATTTGTTTTTTTTTAAGATGAATCATTTAGTTCCTGTTATTCGGAAATTGTATAGGTATGTCGGCAGTTTGCAATAAAGACAAATTCACAATATGAATGAATATGAAAGCCATTTCGGACTTGGACCTTTTGAAATCAAGAGTTAAACTTTGACTTATTAGCGTACATTTATATATAAACTGAGTAATGTTAAACTGCTGTCACTGGAGATTATTTCTGCTTAATTGAACCGCTTTGCTCAATAATCAACTTTTGATTCTAATTTTCAGTTCTTTAACCTGTTATAAGCTAATTTTGTAATGGCAAAAGTAACCATGGCAGGAATGATTGTAAAATAACAATATGATTGTAGGAAGGCTAACGTAAGCTTTCATGTTGTAAACCAGTATGTAGTTAGTTAGTGATCTAAAAATGGGCTTGCCAAATTTGCCAAGTCATGTCTACCTGCAAATTTACGTTTATGGTTTTATTTTATTTTGAACTACGTATTTCTTCCAGAGCAATACATTCGGAAGTAAATAATCGTGGGATAAGTTTTCATTAAGTACTACTAAATGAGAGTTTCACACAAAAGGGAATTTCGAGGGATTAGATTCGTATCCTTCACTGCGAACAGTTTCTTAAGAACGAACCTCCCATCTGAACCAACTTAGTGAACTTGACTTACCGAGTTAGGATATCATACCATAGGATACGCAGATGACCTGGTAACATGCAGGAAGATGGTGTGAGAAATGTGTTTTATAAATGTGCGATAATTTATAACCATTGCACCTGATGTTAAAATTTTTGATAATATGGCTGCATTTAAGCGCAGAATGAAAGAGTTATTGTTTAAGAAAGCTTTTTACAGTATGGCGGTGTTTCTGAATTGTTATTAATTTTCTAATCCACAGTATTACGTGTAGGCAATTTATAAATTATACATTTTTGTTGACTAGCTATGTACTTTGTATTTTGCGGCAATAAATTTATTCATTTATTTTATAAAAAATGACGAATGAACAACAAAAATAGAAAAAATATTTCAAAAACTATATAATTTATTTCTATTTTTTAATTATGTGATCCTAGACCTCATTGGAAAAAACGGTTGGATACGTGTCTAATATTTTTCAACCTAGAATTACCACAAAATGTTTCATTAAAATCGGTGTTCCTATTGCCTTTGTTAGTGATATATATTATGCATAAATCAAGAGTATAAAATGATTTTTTTTGCCAGCTAACTACCAGGGTCATCGCCGGCGGCTCATGTATATAGCCTTCTCATATTTTTCTTCTTAGCTATCTTATGTGTACATTCTTATCTAAGTCTTCTTATGTCCCAACAAAACGACTGTTGCCTTCCGATTCACCTAATAGGAGATTCGTTATCTTATTTGTTGTTACCTTCCCACACGTGATAAATAAAAATACATATATATATAATATTTATACATATTTTCATAATTCACATTCATACTAATTTACTAACCTACACTGCACCTAAATTAGAGGTCGGAAGGTTATCTTGATCTTGCGGCCTCCTTTCTTTCACACTAATAAATACATTCGAACGGTATGTACAAATTCCACTCATTCACTAAACTATCCTAAATTGTTTTACGGGCCTGTAGAATACTCTATATTCCTTGAGCCACGTCCTTTCACGCATCACAACTCTCGCTAATAAATACATACATTCTGGGCAGGCCACTACACTTCGGAAGTATAGTACAAACGAAATGCCAATGACACGTCCGTCACATCATACTACAAATATATATTCGTACCTATACTAATTTGGTGGGCCTGTGAGTACTCGATATTCCGTCGCAGCCACACCCGTGCATACTTCGACACTCACGCAAATAAATACATTAATACAAATAGGGGGATATACCACGTGTTGGGTAGATAAACGGCTTGAAAATGACTAGGGATATTGTCAATTTCGTAGTATTTTTATTTTATTTTTATTATAAATTTTATTACAATTTATTAGAAAGTATTACGTGTTTTTCTGAAAGAATATTTAATTAAGGGATTTTGAACAATAACAAAATAAAAGGTATTAACTGCATAATTTTGTTTATTGGACACAATAATTTTTTAAACAATTGTTTACTGAAATTGTTAGTTTTTCGTTCAGTTCTGAAATTAAACTACAGTTGACATAAAAAAAAACAATAATTCAGTTGTAGTGTTGATGATGATTGGGGATTACGGGGTCCTTAAGCACTTCAGCCTTGGCTCATTGTACTTGTCCTAGTTCCGCAATTTTTTTTCAATTGACTCGTTTTTTCTTGCAAGAAGGGGAAGGTCATTGACTGTCGCTACTACAACTCGTTTTGCCGGATCATTTTTGGTACTCTAAATCATGTCTCTATTGAGTATTTTCTTCGCATTCAAAGATGATGTAGGTGACATTTTCTTCCTTTTTATTGAGCAACGTACAAATGGGGTCATCTTTGAATAGGCCCGTATTGTGATGGTATTTGTCAGATGCAATTGAACGGTATTGAGCCCTATCAATCCGCTAAGTTTAATCTATTTCGGGGCTACCCAAACTGTAGTCCTCGACGAACTTCGAGAAAATGTAATAATTACATTATTAAACGTAGAATAAATAAAATTAAAAACTATTAACAATGAGTACTGAAAACGAAAGTTTTCATTTTGCAGCAGCAGTCATTGTGTGTCTCATAGACATGCTTTAGCTGTGAAACAGGTGCCAGCGTCATTTATAAAAGTTTTAAATGGGGCTGTGCAAATTAATAATTATATCATGTCGCGGCCATTTATGTCAAGACTTTCGCAATACTATGTGTCGATATGGAAAGCTTTCATAATTCACCATACAGAAGTGAGGTAGCTGTCTCGTTGGAAAGAACATTCACGATTGTAGGAATTACGTTCTGAATCCTTATTTGTGATGTACAGCAATGTCAAATTGGCCAACGTTTTCAATGATGAAAAATAGCTATGTATACTGTCGTATTTATTACATATTTTTATCAAAATGAATACGATTAGTCTATGCACAGGAATAGTATCACAACTTTCGATACAAATTACAGAGTTAACGCCTTCAAAAGAAAAATCAGTTTTGGATTGAATCTGCTGAGAAGGAAGAAGTGAGTATTTTCCTATGTTAAATGTTTATTTAAAAGAAAACAAACTGGAGTTTGCAAAATTGATTGATGAAATAATATGCGAACAAATTCGAAGTTTGGAGAAGTCCTTTGAGCAAAACTTCCCAGCAGCTCGAAGTACAATGCTGCAAGGCCATGAATGGCTGGTCAAACCGTTTTCAATTTCGACAAAGCCAACCAAACCTTCAAGTTAATACGAATGTTCTATAGACATTATTTCAGATACCATCTTGAAACCTACTTTCGAGTCTGATACTTGCCCCCATTTTTGACTACGTCTGGAAAACAATCAAAAGATTCAACCGCTCGTTGAAAAAACGTGTTCTTCCATTTGCCACAACTTATTTATGCGAATCCGGATTTTCTACCAACAAAGACACGAAAATTAAATACCGAAGCTTTGATAAGCTGAACCAGACATCCGTCTCCAGCATGCCAAAATTAAACCCAAACATATCCAAACTGTGCAGGTAAGAAACAACCTCACTCACATAATTCATTAATCATAAATGTTGCAATTATTATTTTTTAATTTGCCTTGGTTTTTACCTACATACTGATTCAGTTCTGTCCAATGAGATTTTTGTGCTCCTGATTTTGTAAATAAAGTTAACTATGTCAATCTAATGTTTGTTTTCATAATGATATCCAACTCCATCACCTAATTAGGAATGGATTGCCTAGTTTATAAAACTTTCATTAACTACATGTGAGGTAAATATTTAATTTTAAATACTTGAATACGAGTGGTCCGCTGGCTAAATAGTTTGGGAGCCCTGCTCTATCTAATCGTATTCACTTGTAATGATCAAACACAAAAATAGAATGAAATAAGAATACTATTGAAATGATCTGTATATGTTATTGGGTACTTGAACAATAATTGATAAGTGTATACGTTTTAATTTTTTTTATTTTTGGGTAGATCTTTTTAAAAGTGATCAAACAAAGACTAACACACATGTGCTCGTCACTAGGGGTAAGGGTAAAAGTCCTGGGTTCGAATCCAGCTGCCCTGCACGCGACCCCGACCTTACAAATGGACTTTTTTCAAATCCACAAGCACCCGAGGGTTGAAGTGACCTCTGCTGTAGCAAACCCTCATAAAAAATAAATAAGGTATAACAATAAATAAAAGTATACAATCTTTATAAAAAACAAAACAAGGATGACTAAAACGGAAAAATGACCACAGTAAATACTTTTTTAAAATAAAAATAATAAAGTTTGTGAGAAACAAATCTATGTCCACGTGGCCTGATCATACTTCAACGAGTAATCATTTATTTAAAATATATATAGTTAAATTCTATCTAGCAGTTATAATTAAAATTTATGTATTAGTTTTGCACTTGTAGATATAGATGTAGAAGTAATTTCAGGGTATAGTATTCTGCGCCATTTAAGAGCTATTGTATTCCTCGTTCTCTGCCTAAAGCACATCGATGAGTCCTATTCCATCAGGAAACTTGATTAGTAGGCCCGGTTTCAGTGGTTGAAGCTCTTCTATGGCCATTATACATCCCAAAACATTTCCTTCTGCGAGCTACTAACAAATACCTCCGCAGTTTGTTAGTAGATGTGTTGTCTCTTCTGCCTCTTAGCAGAATCTGCATGTGCCATTTTGGATTATTCCAATCTTCTTTAAGTGTCCATCTAACTTGCAGTGTCTTGTTAGGAATTCTATTAGCGTTTGCAGTTTATTCCTGCTTCCCCGACACATTCAGTAATTTCTTTTCTTCCAAAATTCGCTAGAAGATTCTTGGATTGTCTGTGTCCAATGAGTGAATTCCATAGTTCCCTCATTTTCTTTTTGTCCTTCTGTCTGAGATACTCGTTAATAGAGTCGGTTCCTATGCCACAGAAGGATTCAGGTCCTGTCAGCGTTGTAGCAGCTCCTTGCCTTGCAAGGGTATTCGCTTTCTCGTTGCGTTTTACTCCCATGTGTCCTGGGACCCAGCAGAGGCTGATTTTGTTCTGCGTACCTAATATGTTTAGTTTGGTTTTGCAATTCAGCACCATCCTTGAACTAATTATATTTGAGCTTAGTGCTTTGATGGCTGCTTGGCTATCTGACATGATATCTACAGTCTTGTTTTTGTACCCTTTACTTAGGTTGAGTTGGGTACATCTTTCGAATGCATGAATCTCAGCTTGGAAGATACTGGTGTATTTTCCCATGGGTTCTGAGAATTTGGCTCCAGGTCCGGATACTCCTGTTTTGCACTTGTGACACTCGAATTAATAACCCGGATAATTATTGTTAATGGAATACAAGCTGCTTCGGAAAACTCGTTTAGCAGGACAGGCCGTTAAGCGAGTCTTGTTAAAATAGGTATGTCAAATTTATTTTTTTAATTAATTAATCTTTATGTAAGGTATTAAGCATATGAGTAAAAAGTAAATGGCACTAGCCGGATTCGAACCCACGACCTTCGGTTAATACGCCGCTGCTCTACCACTTGACCTATCGTGAATTCGATCCACTCGGACACTAACTTCGCATCACAACCTACGTTTAGAATTTTTTCTCCTTTTTGCCTTTTTTCAAATGTCGTGTAATCAGGATTCGATTCTCGGCGACGGAGAGCTTTAGTGATGATATACTTCGTTTTACTTATTAAATCGATTGTATTTCCTGGCCCGAATGACTATTATTAACACTAACTTTTTTCATTTCAAACAATACCTTACAAAAAGGTTATTTAATTGAAAGAATTTATTTGGTCAATCGGCCCACGAAATATAATCGATTTATTTTTTTACTTGAAATGTTATTAAGCTCACAAATTATTTTTACTCCCCTACAAAATGTGCCACAAACACATTGCTATAAAACTAAGACGAAAAGAAATTTATTTGCAGCGCATTGAATACATTATAATGAGAAAAAAGAGATTAAATGATAATGTATAATATACTAATACACATTTCTCTGGTAGATGTGCGAAACCAAATGGCTGAGATATTTTGATAAGAGCACGAGTAATTTGTTTTTTATTGAGGCAGATGAAAATTACATAGTTGATTGCAAGGAAATAGCAGTGTCGTGATTCTCGTGTTAAACAAAGGTTTTGTAATTTATATATAAGAATTTATACTTTTTATGTTTTAATCTTTTTTTGCTTTTTTTTGGGGGGGGGGGAATTTCATTTACGTAGGGGTGTGTGCATCTAAAAAGACTCGTCTGTGTGTATACTTTTATTAGAGATCGATTTCGGCATACGCCGCCCTTGATCACTATTGTAATTATAAAATATTCAAAATTTCATACTATTTTTCAAAACTACATTCTTTTTGCAGTCAATTATCTAAAAAGTATCACTAAATTATGTTAACAATTGCTCGGTCATTAATTTTGTTAAGATCGAGAAGCATAAAGAGGTAGGTTCTCCCTGAGGTGTTATGTATGTATATTAATTACTTTTATAGCATTAAATTACACCTTTTTATATGTTTACATGTTTATTAATTTAATCTTAAAATATTATTATACATTGTTAAAATATTTTGTTATCTTGTTGAATATTTATACTGTTATTTTCTATGTTTATAAAAAATCTTCTTCACCCCAATTAATCATCATAAACTTCATAATTATTACGAATTTATATATATAAACTATATGTTATATAACAGTAAAAAATATTGGTTTGAAAAATAGAATGTAATTTTGTTTAATTTAGAAACTCTAGACTGACGACTGGAAGCAGATGCTCCCAAAATTGATTTCTAATAAAATTATTTAAAAAAGTCGAGTTATTAGTTGCCCACGGCTATACTTAATTAATTTTTATGCTTTATTTGAGCAATTACAAATGGAAAAAAATTGAGAAGGCTATTTGCTAGGTTTTAAAAATTTGAATGAGGAAATCATATTTTTGGCAGGATTTTACATATGAACTTGATGTGACTGGTATCAGCTTTAATATTATATTTTGTATATGGAAGATCAAATTAAAACGAATTTGATAATAAAACAATTCCTTCGTCGGGCTTTCAAAGAAATTACTCTATTCATCAATAAAACCTATTTCTAATGATTTACGTGGTTAACAAATATAAAATCTACTTTCAATGTTAAAAATTATCGCACCAATCATAATAAATTTAGTGTAATTAATTAATTACACGTTCGGCAATCGGGAAGCTCATAGAGACATTCCATTTTAATTTTTCTTTTATCAAATATTCATGAAAATGAATAAACAAGTTTATGTTTTTTAATTTTTCACTACACCTTTAATTTTTCAGGTTTTATCTGATTTCACTGGGCAATCCTAGCAGATGAAAGCATCAAAAGAGATTTTCCGCTGTTCTTCAGAAATAAAATGCGGTTTTTAGAAAAGAAAAATTTATTACAGTTTTTACTTCTCGATTAAGCCAGAAATATAATTTATTGGGTTAAATAAATTAATTACAGTTAGCAAAGGGGTACATATATCAGAATTCTTCTAGAAACCCATCAGACAATTTTATATTTGATCAAATTTCACTCTTATAACATCGTTTTGCGTTAATATCATATAAATATGGTTTTGTTAAAAAGAAAATAAATTCAAGAAGTAATTGAAATAAATACAAAATTAAAATTACTTATTTATTGTTTTAAAATTGACAAGACGCAAAGAATAGTTCAGTAGTATGACCCATAAAATGCAGCATAGGGGTGAACGGCATATCCGGCGTATCCGGCGTATCCAGCGTATCCGGCGTGGGGGTATGCATGGTATCCGGCATAACCGCCGTAGCCGAGACCATAGCCTCCGTAACCTAGGCCATAACCACTATAGCCGAGACCATAATCACCCTGTCCAAGACCGTAGCTATCGTAGCCCAGTTCATAGCCGCCGTATCCGAGACCTTGAACCAAGAAAACCGCCGTTAAAGAACAATTTTCCGAAAAGGTATGGCTTAGTGTATATAGTACCGTATCCAACACTTTTCTTATCTCTTGGCGGCTTTTCTTCGGCATAGACGACGGCCAAAACGGCAGCAAAAATGAAAATCTGAAATTTGATTATAAATTTAAACGGTTGCAAAATACCATTAGGTATGACAGATTTCACTGGTCACTTACGAGAACTCTGAGGGAAGCCATTGTCGTTGATGAGTTGACTGGTGAAGATTCCTATCGACCCCTTGGTTTTTATAAGCACAATAGTCCCCACCTGGTCATACAATTGACCTTGCATGATGATAAAACTATGAAATGAAAGTATTCTTATGCCAAGATTATGATTACCAGGAAATTCTATGCCATGTACGATTATTTATTTTTATTTTTGAAACGTCTCCATGTGGCTCAAAGTTAATTCCTGATTTTTTCCTGGTCTTGTAAATATAGCCAACATTTTTTCAACTTATTACAACAAAAAAAACAGTAAGTAAAATAAATTTAAACAAATTTTAGGATATACTAAAATAATTAAGACGCCAGCTGAATATACTTAAGAAGAGATGTTTCTTAAATAAAAAAAATCTAAGAACCTAAGTAAAGCTGTCACATACAAGCCTAAATTAAATTTTATTTAAAAAACTTAATGATAAACGTATAATTGTTGCATTAAATCAACTAACAGAAATTTCTAAATTGTTTTAACATAAAAAATAAAATGAAAAATCAATTGTACTATGAAATTCCACTAAAAAACTGTTTGTTCCTCGTTATGTCTAACTTAACACTTTTAATTAACTGTTAGCTTTTTTCCTGGTTGTCACGTGTAATTAATTTATTTTCTATATATCTCTGAAAATACTTTGTAACGTTCAATTCTCTTTTCCTTATTAAAAGGATTGAAGAATATTAATTATGATTTTAATGATTTTGAACCGTTGTAATCTTCTCGGAAAGCAAGCGTTCCCTAGGATAAGATTTGTAAAAGGATTATTTTTAATATTAGAGAAGGACTAAAGGATGTACTATTTGAATACATTAAGTAGACTCACATATTCAAAACTAGGGGTCGTCGGTGGCCGCAACGGTGCGTTGACACGGCACTCATTACTGTAAGGTAAAGGTACCGGGTTCGAATGCAGGGCCGCTGGATACTTACAACACAAACACCGGCACCCGAGGGTTTATATAACCTCTGCTGTTGTGAACCCTCGTAAAACAAATATATATATATATATATATATATATATATATATATATATATATAACTAACAGTACTACTGATACTATTATTTTGTTTGTTGATACTGTTATTTTTAAAATAGTAAAGTTTATACTGTTATTCTTTATAATAGTAAACTAATATTTTTTTAAACTACGCACGACAAAAGGCATAATAAAAAAGATAACACAGAGCTAAGAAATTAATTCAAGCTGGCAAATGCCATGCGCAATCAAACAAAAATTTAAAAAAATTAAAAAATTATTATCATTACTTTTAAATTAATTAAGGATTTTAGTTGAGATAAAAAATCAGTGTCACGAGCGGGATTCGAACCCACGACCTTCGGCTAGATACGCCGCTACTCTACCACTTGAGCTATCGTGATCGCTACGAGGTAAAAAAAAAAATTAATTTTTTACATGTTCAAAACTGTCGCCAAACAAGACGTTTGAGTGGCTAAAAATTTTTATTATTATTTCCATTAATTTTATGGTAGAATTTAGTATGCAATAATTCTGAATTGATTCTACATTTTGTAGCAGTCATTCCAAAGGACTACACCTATCACTCCCAGACAAAAGAACCGAGTTTTTTTTTCCTTTCAAATTATTCTATCATTAATTTTTCAATACAAAATCAACCGTTGGTATTATAGGTATTGTTAAAATTAAATTTATTTTGAAAGTTGATTTTGTTCTATCCTTGCGTTTTATGTCTATCAGACGCGTATCAGCATTTTGCCATATTTCAGATTGCCGGTAGGACAGACATACCAAAAATGTCGAAATGAAAAAACGCGTCTGACCAACGCAGGAAAGATTTTGACAGACCAAAATTATCGGTCACGACCAAATTTCAGGCTCATTACCCTGCGCGGAGAAATTTCACTATTCATAAGGATTAAGCTTGCTTTTTCTGGCAGTACTGTTTAAATCAGTGAAAAATCGTGCAGACTTAGGTAATTTGATTGAAACGTATAGTTTTCTTTGACTAATGTCGAAAAGGAAATTTGTCCAATTAAAGTAAAAAAGTAAAGTAATTCTTGTTATACATGAGTGGTTATCGTCCAATTACGCTTGACGGATGAAGGATCGAACTACTTGACTATACTTTTTCAAATTATTCTCCATTAAAACTAAATCTAACAATGTATTGTAGTTTGTCAAGTGAATAATGTTTTTGTTATTGCGAAAATAAATCAGTATAAATGTAAAGTAAGCACAATATATTTTGAGAAATATAGAACTAAATATTTAAAAGGATGCAGTCGTGTGAAATCGCTAATTTTATATTTAAGTACGCGTTTTTATAAATTTAAGCTCTTAGTAAGATCTAATTATATTAATTTTTATGTTATTATTTAAACTGGTATCACTTTCTGTTGGTGATGATGATGAAGATACTAGGCAGCGGGTTTTGTGCTCCCCCGGCACTCAGCCTTCTGGTTTTTTGTAAATATATTAGGGGTATTCACGATGTTTGTTAGATGTTAATTCGTGTTAACTGGAATAGAAAAATGACCAGTAAGATCGTGAACTTAACCTTCTTTTCTTAGCAAGATAAACGTTAATTTTTTCGCAGTACTGCGCGTGGCGACTGGTAGAATCGAATATATCAGTCTGTAACATTCCTTGATGGCTTGTTGTTGTTTGCTTTGGTTTGTTGTGAGTTAAATTGTAAGATGCCATATGTTAGTTAAAAGGAAAATTAATCAACTCTTTCATTCAAAATGCTATCTATGCATTCGAAAAGTACTAACACATGACACGCTTCAATTCGTGCCGACATACCTAACCTGTATCCTAACGTCTTACAGCCTACAAATTTATATGATACGGGATGTATCTATTATGAATGAGAGTATAAGGACAGGTCAGAAATTAATGAAAGAAATGTATTGGACCGATTTAATTAACGCGTATTTCAGAATAAAAATACGTTAAACAAAAAACAGCTGTTAAATTCTTGGCTGCCATGTTGGTTACCTATGCCCTAACGGATAGCAATGTGACTACATATTCGACCTAACACCTAACATTAGCTTCGGCCTGTTAGATCGAGCAATAGATCTAGCCGATTCTTACAACTCTACGTCATAATTTTTCTCGATCTAACAAGACCTAATAGAGTTAACCAAACATCGTGAATAACCCTACTATATCACTTTCTGTTACAATTATGCTAAAAATAAAATCCAACGGAAATTTTTCTTAAAGATTATATAAGCTCAAAATATTAATTTTAATTTGGTAAACTTGGTTGTTCTGATCTAAAAAATGCAAACTACCCAAATAATCTCAAGCCATATAGTAAAATTTAATTTGTCTTTTAATATGTTGAATGGAATTTTAATAAAACATCAATCATAAACGTAAATGTAGCTCAACTTATAATAATCGTATAATTAAGGCGCTCCTAAATGTACTAGAAGATTAATGGGGGCTAGTACGTACTGTATTATAAAGTTCGAGAGAAATTAAGGCGTAATGTGACGCTTTCAGGGGAACTTCATACAGAGATGAGCATGCACAAATTAAATGGAAATGCTTCACGATGAAGAACCTCCGGAGAATGCCAGTAAGTCAGTTACGGTCATTTAGATAATAAATACCAAATAAATGTAGACGTCGAGGGCTTTTTGTTTTAATGCATTTTGTGCTGGCATGATCGTAAAAGTTATTGTATTTATGTGTCTAATTTTTACATGGTTGTATGAATAGTAAACAGATAATAAAACGCCTATGTAAACAACCTATGTAACAAAAAATAAAAATGTTTGTAATAATGGACACTCTTAACACGGCGGGCAAGAATGACACATCTACACGGAAAACTAACACTTTGAGCCCTGAAGATGATCTCAATAAAGATCGAAACGTTGGCACGATAAAGAAAATGTTTTTCTGAAACTAGGTCACACCAGACGTCATCTTACGACGTCCAATAATCATTTGTAATAATATTACCAAATAAATTATTCATTTTATGTAAGGTCTTAGTTGTGATGAAAAAGTGTCACGAGCGGGATTAATTGAAAGAAATAATTTGGTGAATTAGACCACTAAACATAATGGATTAATATTAACAAAGTTCAAAATATAGATTTATCTGAGAACGAAAAGTATAAATATTTAAAAGTAAACGCATATACTGTGAACCTTGGTCTGTTTATTGTTATTGGTATTCAGACGAAAAATGGTACGGCTATGGGCATCAAAGGGCTTAACCAGTGGCCCTAGGCACCACCATAAACATATTGCAAGCAATATAAATATAGAATAATAAAATAACATGATAATACATTCACATTATACATAATAATCGGAATAAATTACATTAAAAATATAAATATTTGCAATTAGCTAAGTGGTTGCTTATCAGTTTGGTCTGCCCTGTGATCGCTTTATCATCATGTCGGTTTCCCTAGTTGACCGTCATTAGGCGTGAGTTTTATCGTGTAAACTTATGAAAATTTCATTAGTGGTAAAATAGCAAATGGAAGATGGCGCGAAGTCGAGATGCTTCAAAAACGATGGGAATACTCACACTTACCTGATGCCAGGCAACGCTACCCTACTATACGCTATGCGATCCTCACTGTCCGAATTTTCGTCGGGTAGCATCGAGTACAGTCGAAGACAAAAGAACCGGACACTCATATTTTTATTCAAACTACATGTATTATATTAATCAACATGTCATTATATTAATTACAACAACTTATTTTAATATAAATCAAATTAACTGAGTCAAAAATTCATTATTGTTTATTTAAAAATAAATTCATTTTAATGGTTTGGTAGAAAATTGATCAAAACACCCGAATACATTTTTTGATATAATGCATTTAACTAATAATTTATTACATGGGTTTGCTCATAAAATTACACTATTTTCGTCGAGAAGCTTCAGAACAGGACCCTCTTATTTTTTGTACTTTATTTCAAACTAAGTATTTGTAATTTTGTCGTTATATTAATTACAACATTCGTATTTTAATGTAAACCAAATTTAAGAAAATAAAAAAGTCATACGTTTTTATAAAA